GTATCTCAGTCAAAAATAAGCTGCGATTATCTTGATCCTATAATGAAACGGTAGATACATTGGCAAAATTGACGTATGTCTTACAATATCGGTAATAGTTTTGAAAAATAGACTTCACCTCTTGGGGCACACATGTAATTGTACAAACGTTCTTTGAGTCTAACATAGCCTTTTTGAATTTTAATTGATCCTTAAGACTGGGAAGAACATCTTTCAAATTTTCAGGAAAATCCATTAAGAGATTAATGGATACTGCATCTAGTTCTTTTTCTACAATAATAAAAACAACTTTAAGCAAGTCCAACTAAGTTTGTTGTGGTGACTGCAAAACATGCATTGCAAAACATGCGTTATAAAGGACAACAACTTTAGAAGGAGCCGTTCAGTGAATATAAAACGATTCATCTTAAAAAAAACTGAAAATGCATGAATGCATTTCAAGGTTACAAAAAACGAGCAGAGACAGGATTTACAGATTTATGTTTACAGTCTGTTTAAGCCTCAGGCTTCATGAACCTTGTTATCTTTTAAAATATAATATTTAATTGTTCCTAACATATTTAATAAAAAAAAACTAAACAATAACATTAAATAAATGTTTTCTAGATTTACAACCTTAAAAAGTAAAGTTCAAGGTAAGTAAATGCCAATACCGTTGGTATCCCAATCAGGAAAAGATATTTAAAAATCATTTGAAAAAACATTTTTAAAACATTCATATAATGAGATAAGTTCACTCTTTTTCCTTTTAAAAACGTTTTTTCAACGTCTGAAGAAATATTTTGCTTTTTTTAATATTTAATAAACGTTTATTTTAACATTTAGAAAACGTTTTTCTAAAATATTTTACATAAACGTTTATTAAATATTAAAACAAGCAAAACATTTCTTCAGACGTTGAAAAAACGTTTTTAAAAGGAAAAAGAGTGAACTTATCTCATGATATGAACGTTTTAACTATGATTTTTAAAATGTTTTTTTAATAAGTTTTTCAATTTCTTTTCCTGATTGAAATAGCGACAGACAAATATAATGATTGTCGAGAGATAATAATTATAACATTTCATATATACAACAAACGTTTCAGTAGTTACGTACGGGTCCTCTTCAAAATTTACAAATTAAAAAGATTAAATAAAAAATATCGCAATGGATTTCGATTTGGAATATTTTCAAAGTAAGATTAGTTAACACCGATGCCAAATGAGCAAACTGACCGCTGTCTAAGACTCAATCCCGCAAATACTTGATACCGACATCCAGTAAGCTCAACATTTGTTTTTATAAGGCTTACACGTTTCACTACTAAAGATTAATTCAAGTATATCATGTAAAAAGTTAAAATAATAAAAAATCAATTTGCAGTAATGTTATTATCTTTATATGAAATATTTAAAAAATTGAAATTTTAAGGAAACGAAGCTTATTGATTTCTGCAAAAAATTTCAGAAAAAAATTTTGATAAAAAATTTTTATGAAAAAAAATGTTTACAAACTTCTTTTCTACTTACGTTTCTGTAAGAGATACTGTCAAATCTTAATATTACAAAAGAAGAGTTTTTATCTTACATTACTTTATCACATGAACATTCAAGCAAACACACACATAACCTCTACCATGGAAAGTCAACAAAAACGTTGCTTACTTTTGTATTTACTAATTAATTCGTTGAACTTCACATTTTTCACAACATTCACACCTTCTTCATCCATCGTACATAATCTTACAGAGAAAGTCCATAAAAATCTTACCTTTGAACTTACAGATAAAATCGTTGAGCCCCACATTTTTCAGAAGATTTACTGCTTCTTCATCCATTCTACGTAATTGTACAGTTCACTTTTTTCCAAATAAAACCAAATTGGCAGAAAAGTAGGCAAATACGACTTACTCCGCTGCAAAGTGCTCGAGTTTTAGTTGTCTTGGCGTCAATCGTTGTACTTTGTTGTGCGAGTCGGTGCAAGTCGGCCAGCGCTTGGCAAGTGCCAACGCTTATGCGGTGGTGCGACAACGACTCACGCTGTAGCGCGAACTATGATATGGTTGTCACAACCACACGGACTCAGCAACGGAGGAATGATGGGTACAACTATATGCGTTTGGTACATTAAATACAGCGAATGTTACGACACAAAATAATATAGATGCCCCAAAACTTCGTACGGTAACATTGTAATTTTAGTTGTCTCAACCTCAGGCGTTTTTTCCGTGTACGTTCTCACGAAGGGTCATCATGGAGATTTGAGACACCTTGTGTATATATATATATATATATATATATATATATATATATATATATATATATATATATATATATATGGTACCTGACAAATTTTCTTTAATTAATATCTAAAAATCTATGGGGTCAGTTACAAAATGGTAAAGAACTCAACAGTAGACAGCGCCAAAATTTGAGCATTATGGTATATAATCATGTAACAATTTTCTTTGATTAATATCTAAAAATCTATGTTGTCATTTGCAAAATGGTAAAGGACTTTTTTGTTTAGTTTGACTTAATGTACAAGTATACAACGGTAGACGGCACAATTACATCATATCGCGCATTATCATTCACCAATCTTTTTTAATTAATATCTCGACTATTATTGCGAATATCGCAAAATGGATATAGGACTTTTGTGTTCATCTTAATACGCTCTACGTCCTTATGAGATTGTAAAAGTGATACGGGACACCCTGTATATATATATATATATATATATATATATATATATATATATATATATATATATATA